TATTTACCAGTTTCCTAAAAAAGAATATGAGAACATTACATTTCTTGTCAGTTTATTTTACTGTGAGGGTATTATACGGGGGGTGTAGGTAAAATAATCGAGTGTTGATATGTTATAAAGATGCGAAAACTTTTGGGAAAGTCAGGTGGCTGTGGCATCGCCGCCGGCACCCACCCTCGTGTTATCGTCGGAAATGGCGGCCTTTGTGGCCCTCCCAGTGTGTCATGCAATGTTCATGACGTCCAGGCAGTCACCCAGTCATACACACACTCACAAACTGACCCTTGCTGCCACCACGAGGTGTAACTTTACTCCTTACTGCCACTACAAGGTATAACTTCACTCGTTACTGCCACCACAAGGTATAACTTCATGCCTTACTGCCACTACGAGATATAACTTCACTCCTTGCTGCCACTACGAGGTGTAGCCCCACCTTGCGAAGCAGATCATGCATCAAGACCTGTCTCAACTAAGCCAGAATCACAATCACAAGGATCAACGCTGTTAGAGTTCACCAGAAATCGGAAGGTGACCGCGGCGAGCCAAATCCCCACTGCACACCCAGGAATACCACCGCAATTCAAGATTTAGCTGGTCGAGTTTGATCGAGGGATCGGGATAACGAATTAGAGGTCACCCTTGCAGAGGTCGGAGATAACATGAAGGTGATGCTGGCGACTTCAAGACGAGGCTCGGGTGGCCGGAAATCCCTGACACCACCGTATTTTTAACCAAGAACCGGAAGCAAATTCGTGCAGTGCAGGTTAGGTCTTTAAATCACCTTTTATGAGCGACCTCTTATAGCTTCTGAGCCTTTTGAAGACTCTGAGCGGCTTCTCATGTGTTCAGTACTGTGAATGCGAATAAAAATATTGAAAAATTGAGAGATCATTGAGATGAATATTTTTTTTTTATTGTTGACATTGTGAGTCAGATACTTGTAAATGGCATGGTAAAAAACTGAGACTGATGGAACCGCAATAAACTCTATTTAAGGTGTATGACCCCTACGGGTTAAGATCATGACTTACAGTTTAGTGATACTTAAGGTACCGTAGTGAGGTGTAACTGAAACTGGTGACCTTCTCTTGCGTGGTACAACACCTGTCAGTGCCTGTTAAAAAGTTTTCCAGAGCTTTCTTTTAGGTAAACTGTCAAGGTCCGTGACACTGCTTGCGGCCAGGCTGCCAGTAAACCTTGAGCGACACAAACTGCTGGAAACCGGAGGTTTAAGAACACTTTTGACAAGTTAATTAAAAGCGTGCCACGGGACTGGTCGCTCAATACACCATCTCAAAAAAAAAAAAAAAAACTGGCTCTAAAAAAAAAAAGCAGTTTGCATGTGTGTCATTTACAATAGAGGACTTACAGCTTTATGCTGCGTGGCGCGTTGACTTTCACGAGTAAGAAACCAACAGAAATGATATTTTGGTTATTGTACGCATGGTTACTGTGCTGTTGACGTGAAGATGAGCAGTGTATAACAGTGAGGGAGTCAGATATATCATGGATTCGATAGATGTATAAATATAAACTGTGGCTCTAATTTTAAGATTGTGGTTAGTCTTGTGCTCTTGAATCGATATAATAGAATCAATGTTTACTAAACTAAAATCATAGTTCTTTTAAATTTATACGATCGTAAGCATTTTCAACCACTTCCAAGGTTTTTCAAGAATCTAAGGACCACTTCCAAGGTTTTTCAAGAATCCAAGGACCACTTCGAAGGTTTTTCAAGAATCCAAGGACCACTTCGAAGGTTTTTCAAGAATCCAAGGACCACTTCGAAGGTTTTTCAAGAATCCAAGGAACACTTCGAAGGTTTTTCAAGAATCCAAGGACCACTTCGAAGGTTTTTCAAGAATCCAAGGACCACTTCGAAGGTTTTCCAAGAATCCAAGGACCACTTCGAAGGTTTTTCAAGAATCCAAGGGCCACTTCCAAGGTTTTCTCAAGAATCCAAGGACCACTTCCAAGGTTTTTCAAGAATCCAAGGACCACTTCCAAGGTTTTTCAAGAATCCAAGGACCACTTCCAAGGATTTTCAAGAATCCAAGGACCACCTCGAAGGTTCAAGAATCCAAGGACCACTTTGAATTCAGTCATACAGTAGCAGACCAACTCGTGGGAGTATGAACATACATCAAACGGTGTATATCTCTGTATAAATATATACACTGAGAGCTTCCTTTAATTCCCTTTGAGGCGATAAAAATATTCTTAATAGTGTACAGATGGATAGCAATAAGACTCGTGCAGCCGATAGGTTTCAAACCTAACAAAGCATAGATCATCTTCAACCAAGCACTGTACAAACCAAGGCAATTTTCTGGATAAATATAGTGACGATTCTCCTTCACTGACGTCACTGTCACCTCCACTGACGTTACAGCCCCTGCTGTCACATTCACTGACGTCACAGCCCCTGCTGTCACCTTCAGTGACGCCACAGCCCCTGCTGTCATCTTCACCGACGTAACAGTCACTACAGTCATGGGTGAGTATGACGCCCCACATTGAAAATTAATAGAAAATGACTTTCCACACTTTATCCCTGGGATGAGAGTGCCTTGTTGCCAGTGAAGGGCTCTTGATCAAAGAAAATAAAGCTATCATCCCCTTCCTCGAATTTAACCTATATGACCCTTATGGGCTTAGCGCTTTCCCATGACTTTAATAATAGTGCCACAAATTTAGGATATTTGCTTAATATGTCTGGTATCTTATTTTCATTAATAAGATGCCTTAACATATAGGTTATTATACTATCTCAGTATCCCTTAATAAATGGATAATTAAGCACATAGTGTTCAATAAATAACCATAAAGCTGGCCACACTTTGCATTTAGTTTAATCATCATTCTCAGCTTTCCCATGGACTCCTCCTAAACTTGATCTCATTTATCATTTAGGTTTACATCTCTCTAGGAGACTTGATCTTCCCCAGTAAAGAGCCTTCACAGAGGAAACCGTTCCTTCACTGCAGGATTGACCGTGGCTCATTGTCTCGACTGTTTTGCCTGCTTTTTCTCCCTTTCCTCAGGTCTCTTTAATCTCCGTATACGCTCTAGTGACATCTCTCAATTTATATCCCTTTACGTTCACCCAGTATCTTGTTTTTTCCTCCCGCCTTTGGGAGTTCTAATGTAAGTTAGCTTCTTCCCCTTCCATGCTTGAAGACTTGAAGGTCGACCGCAAATTTACGCTCTTAAACACTGTCACATTCTTGTGCTATAGCCGTGTACACTGAAGGTTGCGGATCCCCAGATGGTGTCAGGTATGTAGCTGTTTTTTCCCAGATAGAATACATGGAGTATACCTGGAGAGAGTTTCGGGGGTCAACGCCCCCGCTGCTCGGCCTGTGACCAGGCCTCGCGGTGAATCAGGGCCCGATCATCCAGGCTGTTACTGCTGGCCGTACATACACTGACGTACGAGTCACAGCCCGACTGGTCAGGTACTAACTTCAGGTGCTTGTCCAGCGCCTACTTAAAGACAGCCAGGGGTCTATTTACTAGAATCGACCAGAATTCTCTCAGCAGAATTGTGTGTGTATAATTACGATACTTATCGTAATCATACACATTGTAACTGCCTCGTCATTACTCATGTCCGATTCCCAATGTGCGTTACAAGCTCTCCAGAAATTTGACTCCCACGTCCCATCATCCTTCATATACAACAATGATTATGTAGTATCTTTTAGAAAGGCATAATGAAGAGGTTTTTTTAAGCTGGGTCCCTGGACATTCCGATATTAGAGACATTGAACAATCAGACTTAGACACTCGGTCAGCTTTTCACTATCTCTCTCTCTCACGTCGGTGTCCCTTTCTCGAACTATTTTCCAGTACTCTCTCGACAGCTTTAAAATTGGTGTCAATACTGGTCACAGCTCACAATTATTTTCTACCAAACCACAAGCAGCTTCCTGTTGATCTTCACAACGCTGTCTGGTGTAGAACACTGCTGTCACTTGTGAATAGGACACACGACTCACATGGATGTCACATGAGAAACATATGTCACATCTCTGTGAGACCTGGCAGGTCTCACTATCAATTCACCAAATTTTATTAGATTGTCTTAACTGTCAGAGAACATGCAGAATTCACATCAGATATCTACAACGCCTTGACTTACTCATCGAACGTTCCACCTTTATCCCAGAATCTTTAAATTTATGATGGAAGCTAACCTATTGCATCCACACTTACCGCCCATTCACTAACCCATACCCTTCCACACCTCTACTCGCAGCGTTGTATGATCCATACAGGTTTCAGGAGTCTTTCTGGGTGGTGTTCCAGGAGTCTTTCTGGGTGGTGTTCCAGGGGTCAAAGCCCCTGCGGCACGGTCTATGGCCAGGCTTCCCGAGTTTGCATGGAAGCGACTTAGGGCATGTTTTTCAATATAATTACTCCTGGTGTACATCTTTAGATAGAGGATCCACACTCCGTACAAATGTAAAAATTCTTATTGTCGAATTGATCTTCCTTCCAAGGTAATCTTAGTGGTAGTGTTATTCCTAGTATTAGTGGTAGTTGTAGTGTTAGTGGTAGTATTAGTGGTAATGTTGTAGTATTAGTGACAGTGTTAGTGGTAGTATTAGTGGCATCATTAGTGGCACTATTAACAGTATTAGTGGCAGTGTAAGTTGTAGTATCAGTTGTAGAATTGTATTAGTTGTAGTGTTTGGTCAATGTCATCCATATTGTTGGTTGTCAACTGGTGCCTTGCGTTTGAGAAATAAACAAGAACAGGTTCCTGGGAAACCAGGAATGAAGTGTTGACTACAGATATGAATCCCATGTTTACGCAATTTTCAACCAAAACAAAACTGTATTCAAAATGTTGCGTATGTCCGCAAACAACCCCGGGTTGCATGATGCAAGGTGACAGTTTGGGTAGTTACTGGCCTAGGGTGGTTGATGCTCTTGACCTTTCCTCAGGTCACTGGTGTAGAGTGTTTGATCCTACTTGTTATCTTCCCCAGGTAGGACTCTGCCAGTACCAGTGTCGTGTCAGGTGTGTGGAGACAAGTCTTACGGTAAACACTACGGGGTCTTCTGCTGTGATGGTTGCTCTTGCTTCTTTAAGAGATCCATCAGGAAGGGTGTCACTTACTCCTGTATCTGTGAGTACCCTGTGTTGCTACTTTGCTACCTCGGTTATCTGTGTGTTACTGTCTTGTTATTTGTAAGTATGTGTTGGTACTTGGTAATCTCTGTTGGTATCTTATCTGTCAGTACCTATGTTAATGTCAGTATCTGTCTTTTGTCAATATGTGTTATCTGTCAGCATCTGTTGGTATATTATGTCAATATCTGTTATCTGTCAGTACTTATTACCTCAGTATGTCTGTTTTGTCTTTTATCTCTCAGTATCTTTATTTTATGTCAGTTATGTTATCTGTCAATATCTGTTATCTTGTTATCTGTCAGTATCTGTTATTTCGTTATCTTGGTCAATCCTACTTGGTTTCTTACGTTTTAAAGTTATTAACATGAGTTGAAAGTCTCAGTCTCTCTCTCTCTCTCTCTCTCTCTCTCTCTCTCTCTCTCTCTCTCTCTCTCTCTCTCTCTCTCTCTCTCTCTCTCTCTCTCTCTCTCTCTCTCTCTCTCTCTCTCTCTCTCTCAAAAAAAAAAAAAAAAAAAAAAAAAAAAAAAAAAAAAATGCCAAGTGTGTATCGACAAGTGCTGTGAACAACCGGTAACTACCCCAGAGCGACTTAGTGTTCTTCACCACCATTATTGTTCTTCACCCCCACCACTAGTATTGTTCTTCACCCCACACCATCGTTCTTCACCACCACCATTGTCGTTCAACACCACTATCGTTGAGAGTAAGACACATGTGCAACATCTGGGTATCTTTATTGTAGACGTTTCGCCATCCAGTGGCTTTATCAATACAAATTCTAGGACATAACTTGAAGACAGTAGAACTATGTACAGAAGATGAGGTAATCAGTCCCTCAACCTAGGAGTAGGTGCGAACAGCACCATAGTCGTGGAGAATCTCCACGACTATGGTGCTGTTCGCACCTACTCCTAGGTTGAGGGACTGATTACCTCATCTTCTGTACATAGTTCTACTGTCTTCAAGTTATGTCCTAGAATTTGTATTGATAAAGCCACTGGATGGCGAAACGTCTACAATAAAGATACCCAGATGTTGCACATGTGTCTTACTCTCATCTTGTCGGTATTATATACCATTAGTACACACACACCACTATCGTTCTTCGCCACCACCACTATCGTTCTTCACCACTATCGTTCTTCACCACTATCATTCTTCACCACTATCGTTCTTCACCACCATCGTTCTTCACTACCATCGTTCTTCACCACCACCATCGTTCATCACTGTCGTTCTTCACTATCGTTCACCATCACCACCACTGTCGTTCTTCACCACTATCGTTCACCACCACCACCACTGTCGTTTTTCACCACCACCACTGTCGTTTTTCACCACCAACACACGCTCACCACCACTTCGTTCTTAACCCCCGATCTCACCACTGTCGTTCTTCACCACCACCAGTATTCTTCACACACCACTGTCGTTCTTCACCACCACCAGTATTCTTCACCACCACACTGTCGTTCTTCACCACCACCAGTATTCTTCACCACCACCACTGTCGTTCTTCACCACCACCAGTATTCTTCACCACCACCACTGTCGTTCTTCACCACCACCAGTATTCTTCACCACCACCACTGTCGTTCTTCACCACCACCAGTATTCTTCACCACCACCACTGTCGTTCTTCACCACCACCAGTATTCTTCACCACCACCACTGTCGTTCTTCACCACCACCAGTATTCTTCACCACCACCACTGTCGTTCTTCACCACCACCAGTATTCTTCACCACCACCACTGTCGTTCTTCATCACCACCAGTATTCTTCACCACCACCACTGTCGTTCTTCACCACCACCAGTATTCTTCACCACCACCACTGTCGTTCTTCACCACCACCAGTATTCTTCACCACCACCACTGTCGTTCTTCATCACCACCAGTATTCTTCACCACCACCACTGTCGTTCTTCACCACCACCAGTATTCTTCACCACCACCACTGTCGTTCTTCACCACCACCAGTATTCTTCACCACCACCACTGTCGTTCTTCACCACCACCAGTATTCTTCACCACCACCACTGTCGTTCTTCATCACCACCAGTATTCTTCACCACCACCACTGTCGTTCTTCACCACCACCAGTATTCTTCACCACCACCACTGTCGTTCTTCATCACCACCAGTATTCTTCACCACCACCACTGTCGTTCTTCACCACCACCAGTATTCTTCACCACCACCACTGTCGTTCTTCATCACCACCAGTATTCTTCACCACCACCACTGTCGTTCTTCACCACCACTATCGTTCTTCACCACCACCACTGTCGTTCTTCACCACCACCAGTATTCTTCACCACCACCACTGTCGTTCTTCACCACCACCAGTATTCTTCACCACCACCACTGTCGTTCTTCACCACCACCAGTATTCTTCACCACCACCACTGTCGTTCTTCACCACCACCAGTATTCTTCACCACCACCACTGTCGTTCTTCATCACCACCAGTATTCTTCACCACCCCACTGTCGTTCTTCACCACCACCAGTATTCTTCACCACCACCACTGTCGTTCTTCACCACCACCAGTATTCTTCACCACCACCACTGTCGTTCTTCACCACCAGTACTGTTCTTGTTCACTATTTACCTTCACTTTCTTGCACGGAAATCCATAGTTTTTTTTTTTTTTTTTTTGTTACGATGGCTGACATGGTGTCCGTGTGCTGGAAGTCGCGCGAGTCGCTGTGGTATGCACGACTCTCTCTTTTTACAGTAACAAAAACGACTCGTGTTATTAATGGAGTGAAAACATTGTGGAGAGAGAGAGAGAGAGAGAGAGAGAGAGAGAGAGAGAGAGAGAGAGAGAGAGAGAGAGAGAGAGAGAGAGAGAGAGAGAGAGAGAGAGAGAGTTGATTGAAGGGTATGGAGGTCTCCTGGGAGTTGTACACGTGTTGCTCCTGTTTTGTATGATCCCAACCAAACATTTTAATTTTCTTATCTTTAATCTCACATTTGATTTTGCATTTTTATTTTACTATTTATTTTATTTTCATTTAAGCTTAAATTTAATGTCTTATAAATTTTGCATAACTCGGTTTCACATTTGCATATTTTATCTTGGCATATTCATAATTTAAATTTTACATATATTAGTGGTAGTGTTTGTTGTAGTATTAGTGGCAGTGTTAGTGGTAGTATTAGTGGTAGTTTTGTATTATTAGGATCACTAGCGGTGGTTCACAATCTGGTGTACCAACGGGTGTTGACAATGGGAAGGAATGAGGAAGGGATCAGAAACCCCTGGTGTACTTCCTGGGTAAGTTATGTTAAGGATGTTAAGTCCAGTATTCTTCCTGGACGTACTTGTAATAAAAACACAGGTATATGGGAGGTGCTTCCCGAGCCTAGTAGTGTGCAGTCTTCATCGTGGGCAGGTGATGATTCTATGTAACTGTATTTGTGTATACCTGAATAAACTTACGACCCTGGTGAGGTGGCTTACATCTATCCTGGGCTTCTCCATTTCAAGCGTCGGGACTACAATCCTGGGTTCTAGGCCTGGTGACCTGAGGACACTGGAACCTTGTGATCTATTGTTAGGGATGGGAAATTGGTGTCTGCATTGTCAGCATTGCCATCCATGCTGTCGGGAGAGGATGGGGTCCATTATGAATGTGGTACCTCCTTTCTGTCTCCTTATCCATTGGACAAATGGAGTGGTTCCCTGAAGCTGGCTATCCCAAAGACAGGCCAGAACTACAGAGAAACTGCGAACTATCGTCCAATCTCTGATGAACAGCATCTGCCAATTGTTTATCTCATCTGATACTTAAAAACAAAAGGCTGCATTACTTCAGTACACGTTAGCTTCCGCAAGTTCCTGTCGAAATTTTAACTAATATTGGCTATTTTAAATTGTGATAGTATTGTATGTTAATTGTATCAGGTTATACTGTGTTGCACATATTTTGATTGCTAAGAACTCTTGAGTGAGCTAGAAGGTGAATGTTAGTGTGAGTGTAATAATATTAGCAATGATCTGTGCTGAAAACACTCAGTAACGAAACAACTTGAGTTCTTTAACAGAATAAAACAACCCACGAGGGTCAAAGCTTCGTATATAATAAAATAATTTGTTTATTATTATTATTACTATTTACAGATGTTGATATTAAAAATAATAAAAAAGAATATGACATTTGTTATTGCAGTGATCAATAATACTAATAACAATAGTCTTCTGATTGGCATTAAATCATAATTGAAGGAACTGCTTCTGTAATTGGTCATTACCACAAACCAGGCAGTAATATTTCTGGTGTGGGGTGGAGGGTCAGTCAAGTGTAATGACACATCTGAGTCAGGAAGTGGACAACATGTGCCATTGATTATTCACATACATTGCAGCGTTGTGCACTCAAATTACACGTTGAGTGGCCCTATAATGTGGCGTATCATTTATACTGGGTTAATTATAGCGGTAGGGCGTTGGAGGTGGTGGTGAAGCTGGCTCTTATATAGTCCTAAAATAAGAGCTGTTATCCTACTTACACTGGTACTGATGTAGGATCCCTCTCACTTATACTGCCATGATAAGAGGTCTCTCTTATTCATACTGGCACTGATAAAAAGTTTATTCCCGCCATACTGGCACTGATATAAAATTCATCCTATTCATAATGGCACTCATAAGGTCCCTCCCAGTTATACTGGTGTGTGTACTCGCCTGTATATGATTGCAGGGGTCGATTCACAGCTCTTGGCTCCGTCTCTTCGCTGGTTGCTACTAGGTCCGCTCCCGGTTTCAAGAGCCTTGTCGTACCTTTTCTTAACGCTACCACTTCACTCTCATTATTGTTCCACTTCCTGACAACTCTAAGACTGACGAAATACTTCCCAACATCCCTATGACTCAGTTAAGTTTTCAACTTCCAGCTGTGCCCCCTTGGTCCTAATTCATATTTCTAAAACATTCTGTCCCTGTTTACCTTGTCAATTTCTCTTGGTATTTTGTATGACTTTATCATATACCCCGAAGCCCTGTCCTCCAGTGTCATCAGGTTAAGGTTCTTTAACTTCTCCTCATAGGATATACCTACTTAGCTCCGGGACTAGTCTTGTTGCAAACTTCTGCACTTTCTCCAGTTGCTTGATATGCTTGATCAAGTGTGGGTTCCACACTAGTGCTGCGTGCTCCAGTATGGACCTGACGTACACAGCGCACAGTATCGTGAATGATTCCTTAAATGTCGAAAAGTCATTCTTAGATTTGCCAGACGAGCATTAGCTGCAGCAGTAATTTATTGATTTGCGCCTCGGTATGATACTCACCCTAAAATCCTTCTCCTTGAGTGAGTCTTGTAGCCTTTGCCCCCTGAGCTTGTACTCCGTCTGTATTCTTCTTTGTCCTTCCCTAAGCTTCTTAACTTTGCACTTGGTGTGGTTAAGCTCCAGGTCTTTGCCTGCGAACAGGGACTCCTCTGACTCTATCACTTTTGTTATGTCATTCACGTATACATGAAACGGAACCGGTCTTAGGAATGATCCTTGTAGAACCCACTCATCACATGTACCCATTCCGACACCTCGTCAAGGACCATCACTCGTTTTTTCTTCCTGTCAGGTATACCTTGATGCATTCCAGCGTTTTCCTTGTTATTCTTGGCTGCTCGTCTAACTTATGTACCAGCCTATTGTGTGGTACTGTGTCAAAAGCCTTCTTATAGTGATAAGATGCAGTTTACCCATTACTCTTTCACATTTGTCATCTCTTACCTTGTCGTAGAACTCCAGTAGATTTGTGATGCAGGATTTTCCATTCTTGAAGCCGTACTGGTTGTCATATATGAGCCCTTTCCATTTTAGGTTCACCACTCTTCTGATAAGCTCCATAACATTTCATACTATACACGTAAGTATCACAGGTTTGTTTAATGCAACCTGTCTGTCTCATATCCAAATTATTGGGACTACATTTGCTGTCTTCCACACCTCTGGCAGTTGCCTTGTTTCGATATACTTGAAGACTGTCTAGTGACAACCATAGGGGAGATATTTTCTTGGCTCACCGCCTTCCAGGTATCTAGATCACGTGGCAGTTTCTCCACCTCCCCAGTTGTGTGGATTGTGTCCAGTGCGCTCTATCGCATTGGTTTGCTGAACGATTTTCTGTCTTTGAGAATACCTCGCTAAATCTTATGTTGAGCTCTTCAGACTTCTTGGTCATTCCTTGTGAGCTCCCATCCTTCCTTCAGCATCATTACTTGGTCCCTGACTCTTGTATTCTTTCTGATGTGGCTGTATAACAACTTGGGGTCGGATTTGGCTTTCGATAATGTCATTCTCAAATTCTCCTCCAGCCTCCCTTCTTACCCAGGCATATTCGCTTCTGGCTTTCCGACTCGGCTCCTTGTTTTCGTTAGTTTTTTGACTTCTGTTTTTTCCATGTTCTAGAACATTTGGCTTTGGCTTCTCTACACCTGCCTGTGTGTGCAAGCTTGCGCACTCACCTATACTTACTCATCTATATAAATTTGTAGGGGTCGAGTCTTAGCTCCTGACCCTCCCTCTTACCACTAGCCAGATTCACTCCCTCCTAGCCTCATGGACCCTGTCATACCTGTACTTATAACTATATGAAGCCAGCCTTCGCTATGTCTTCGTGTACGTAATTCCACTTCCTGACTACCCTCAGTCTAAAGAAATACTTCCTAACGTCTTTATAGGTCATAGTTGTCTTGAACTTCTGAAAATGCCCTCGTGTACCTGTTTCCCGCTTCTCAGAGTTTATCCTTGTCGATCATCTGAGTATTTTGTACATTACTATCATGTCTCCTCCTTTTATTCCCTTATATCATCAGGTTAATTTCATTTTCCTTCCCGTTCAGCTCCCTGCCCTTAGCTCTGGAAGAAGCCTCGTTCCATACTTCCGAACTTTTTCCAGTTCTTAATATGCTTTATCAGGTGTGGGTTCCCTGCTACTGCTCCATATTCTAAAAATACTCCTGACACGTGTTGTATAAAGGACCCGCAATAACTTTGTTGACATTCCTGAAGTCTGCTCTTAAATTTGCTTAAGGAACGTGTGTGTGCTTGTGAGAGTGAGTGTAAGCGATTGCCGTGAGGCTCTTGGCAACACCAGGGCCTTGTGACCTTATGCCTACTGTGTATATATATGTTAGGTAATGTTAAATTGAAGGTGGTGAGAGGGTAATACGAGTGTGTATCTTGATGACAGCTGGTAAAGGCGAGTGTGTGGTGGACAAGGCTCGTAGGAACTGGTGCCCTCACTGCCGCCTCAAGAAGTGCCTCGCTGTCAGCATGAACACAGAAGGTAAGTCGGTCTCTCTCTCTCTCTCTCTCTCTCTCTCTGAAGGAATCAGAACGTGTCCTACCAGCTACACTATCTTTCAAACTGTGTTATTGTTCTCTTATTCATATATGATTTTTAAATACTTATTCAGTGTTATGTAACATTCGTATAGGATGGAGAGTGAACCAAGATTCTCTTGTTCTCGTATTAACACATCTTACGTGGACTGTGAGAACATGTTGAACATTTAGTGATGAATGATTGCGGAAGGAAGCCTGCACTGAACTTGCTAGGGACTGACCGTCTTGTGGTATAATAGGGGCCTACTGACCGTCTTGTGGTATAATAGGGGCCTACTGGCTGTCTACGGTAACTGACAGATGTAAAGCGTCTTAAAACCCTCACACTAAGAGTTATAAGCGTTTAACAGTTAAGAATATATACACTGTCAGGTGTATATCCCTCAGCGTATATATGTAGAGTATACTTTAGTGCATATCTTGGGGATATAGGGTATCCCTTACTGGTGGGGAATAGGTAACCTGCAGCCTTCATGACCCTCGTGTAGTCGATAGTCTTCAAAAATAATTAACCAATTTATCAGTTAATCACCATCCAGTCTACAAATTTATAGTCAATACCAGTCTGAAGATGGTGTTTTCTCCGTCAGGAAAGACGCGTGTCAGAGCTTCGCGTGATACATTGACGTTAACATTTGACGTTGTGAGCACTTCTGGCGTGTGCGGTGAAATTAACTCAAGTTTTTGCACAGACACACAAAAAAATGTTTCTTGCGTTTTTCTGAACTCGGGAGTCGATGTAGTGTAATGAATAACTTGAACTGGAGTGTTCTTAGTCTTCCTGCTAACACTGGTATCTTCCCACCAACACTGGTATCTTCCCACCAACACTGGTACCTTCCCACCAACACTGGTACCTTCCCACCAACATTGGTACCTTCCCACCAACACTGGTACCTTCCCACCAACACTAGTACCTTCCCACCAACACTGGTACCTTCCCACCAACACTGGTACCTTCCCACCAACACTGGTATCTTCCCACCAACACTGGTATCTTCCCACCAACACTGGTACCTTCCCACCAACACTGGTACCTTCCCACCAACACTGGTACCTTCCCACCAACACTGGTACCTTTCCACCAACACTGGTATCTTTCCACCAACACTGGTACCTTCCCACCAACACTGGTACCTTCCCACCAACACTGGTACCTTCCCACCAACACTGGTATCTTTCCACCAACACTGGTATCTTTCCACCAACTCTGGTATCTTCCCACCACTGGTACCTTCCCACCAACACTGGTACCTTCCCACCAACACTGGTACCTTCCCACCAACACTGGTACCTTCCCACCAACACTGGTATCTTTCCACCAACACTGGTACCTTCCCACCAACACTGGTACCTTCCCACCAACACTGGTATCTTTCCACCAACACTGGTATCTTTCCACCAACACTGGTACCTTCCCACCAACACTGGTACCTTCCCACCAACTCTGGTATCTTCCCACCAACACTGGTATCTTCCCACCAACACTGCTACCTTCCCACCAACACTGCTACCTTCCCACCAACACTGGTACCTTCTCACCAACACTGGTACCTTCCCACATACACTGGTACTTTCCCACATACACTGGTACCTTCCCACCAACACTGGTACCTTTCCACCAACACTGGTATCTTTCCACCAACACTGGTACCTTCCCACCAACACTGCTACCTTCTCAACAACACTGGTACCTTCTCACCAACACTGGTACCTTCCCACATACACTGGTACCTTCCCACATACACTGGTACCTTTCCACCAACACTGGTATCTTTCCACCAACACTGGTACCTTCCCACCAACACTGGTACCTTCCCACCAACACTGGTACCTTCCCACCAACACTGGTACCTTCCCACCAACACTGGTACCTTCCCACCAACACTGGTACCTTCCCACCAACACTGGTACCTTCCCACCAACACTGGTATCTTTCCACCAACACTGGTACCTTCCCACCAACACTGGTACCTTCCCACCAACACTGGTACCTTCCCACCAACACTGGTACCTTCCCACCAACACTGGTACCTTCCCACCAACACTGGTATCTTCCCACCAACACTGGTATCTTCCCACCAACACTGGTACCTTCCCACCAACACTGGTACCTTCCCACCAACACTGGTACCTTCCCACCAACACTGGTACCTTCCACCAACACTGGTACCTTTCCACCAACACTGGTACCTTCCCACCAACACTGGTATCTTTCCACCAACACTGGTACCTTCCCACCAACACTGGTACCTTTCCACCAACACTGGTACCTTCCCACCAACACTGGTATCTTTCCACCAACACTGGTATCTTTCCACCAACACTGGTACCTTCCCACCAACACTGGTACCTTCCCACCAACACTGGTACCTCCCCACCAACACTGGTATCTTCCCACCAACACTGGTACCTTCCCACCAACATTGTCACCTTCTCACATACACTGAAAAGGCATAAGTACGACAGTAGGTTAACTGGCTCATGCTGTTGGTGGCAGGAGGAGGAGAAAAAAGAAGGGGTAACTGTTGATTGCTGTGTGATGGGTTTGTTTTGACAACTCTTGCTAATCCTTCAGAGATGACGAAGCGGTCTTTATTCTGTTTAATAGTGTTTGAAATAGCCAATGGTGGCAATCACAACCAGCTCATCCATCAAAGACTCTTAAGTTACATTCACTTGTTAGACGAAGAATGAGGGGAGACCTGATCGAAGTGTATAAGTGGAAGATAGGTATTAATAAAGGGGATATTAATAAGGTGGAAATATAAACACAAATGCAGTATAATGTGATCCTTTATTGACTACGTTTCGCCCACACAGTGGGCTTTTTCAAGTCACAAAAAGCCCACTGTGTGGGCGAAACGTAGTCAATAAAGGATCACATTATACTGCATTTGTGTTTATATTTCCATTGTGTCGGTATTTTATACCATTTATTTCCATATTAATAAGGTCTTGAGGATATCTCTCCAAGAGAGAACCCGCAGTAATGGATTTAAATTAGACAAGTTTAGATTTAGAAAGGACACAGGAAAATATTGGTTTGGAAATAGGGTAGTTGATGAGTGGAACAGTCTACTTAGTTGAGTTATTGATTGAGGCTAGGACTTTGGGTTGTTTCAAATTTAGGTTGGATAAGTACATGAGTGGGAGGGGATGGATTTGAGTGGGACTTGCACATCAGAGCTTATTTCTTGGGTAGCATTGAAAATTGGGTTGGTCAAATGCTTTGTTAGTGGGATGAATTGTAAAGGACCTGCCTAGTATGGGCCAACAGACCTGCTGCAGTGTTCCTCCTTTCTTATGTTCTTATGTTCTTAAGAACTTCGAACCAGTCAGTGCTGGAGTTTGCACAATCCCCTGTGGAGGCTGTGAAAAGGTATACGTCGGTGAAAGAACAGGAAGACAGGAAACACGTCTCAGTGGACACATCAATGCATGCAGAAACGATAACTTGAACAACACGTGTACAACATAGGAATTCCTCCAACCATCTGATAAGATGTAACGACACTCGCCTTGTGATTAAAGAACTCAATTTTCGCAGGCGAAAACCAAAAGTTACCGCCGCCACCGGATCCAGAAAAAAAATCATAGGAAAAAAAGTCAGTCACAACCTAAATAATGACTTTTTACCAGTGACTTTTTTTCTTAGCCAAAATTTTAACTTATTTTCCTGTGACTTTTCCGGACACCCCCCACTGTCACCACCAGCATGTGCCAGTTAGCTTACTGTAGTGGTTGTGTTCTTGAACCTCACATTGTTGCATGCTGTATATATAATCCGTGTCCTTGTATTGTTCATAATGGCTTGACAAAGCTCCTGGAGAGCGAAACGTTGCCACAATAAAATGCTTCAGCAGTTGCACATGTGCGACTGAAGAAGCCTGCTGTATAGGCGAAACATAGCGTCAGTAAAAATAACTAGCCGTTGTACACGTCTTACTCGTCTGCTGGTTACTATCGTATATCATTGTTATTAAGATAAACATATTTTTGTTAATGTTATTTCAGTTGTTCCCACTAGGATTCATAGGTGTCGAAATTCACTGTTACTTTAGTCTCGAGGTGTGTGTGGCAGGAAGAACACCGAGGTCAGTCTCGAGGTGTGTGGCAGGAAGAACACCGAGGTCAGTCTCGAGGTGTGTGTGGCAGGAAGAACACCGAGGTTAGTCTCGAGGTGTGTGTGGCAGGAAGAACACCGAGGTTAGTCTCGAGGTGTGTGTGGCAGGAAGAACACCGAGGTTAGTCTCGAGGTGTGTGTGGCAGGAAGAACACCGAGGTCAGTCTCGAGGTGTGTGTGGCAGGAAGAACACCGAGGTCAGTCTCGAGGTGTGTGTGGCAGGAAGAACACCGAGGTCAGTCTCGAGGTGTGTGTGGCAGGAAGAACACCGAGGTCAGTCTCGAGGTGTGTGTGGCAGGAAGAACACCGAGGTCACTCTGGTTTGTCAGAATGGTCGAGAGTTTCACCTGTCTTGGTCACAGTTACTGGACAAGACACAGCAGAACATAAAGACGGAGCACTGCAGCAGGCCTACTGGCCCTTGCTAGGCATCACCCGGAAACACTTTAAATACTCTCAAGAACATATTCTGTGCATTGTGAATGGTAAGATGAATTTTCCTGGGAAGTAAAGTTGGTTTTATATATATAATGAGTTTAATGTATGCGTTTAAAAAAAATATTTCGAAGGACTCGCGAAATTAGAACACAAAATTTGCACCTCGGTCAAAATAAACGTGATAAAACCTGGTAGGTGGCACAAGGGAAGAGACTAAAGACTTAGGGGTGAGCATAATCCCGAACATATCGCCAGAGGCTCATATCAATGGAATAACCTCTGTAGCGAATTCTTGTTTGGAAAATTTAAAATTAGCTTTCAAGAATCTCATCAGAGCCTTTCATGAGCCTATTTACGACATAGGTCAAGCGCATCTT